TCTTCTTGAGTTTGTAACTCATGAAAGTACTTGTAACTTGGTTCAGAAAGATTGAATCAATGATTTACAACCTCGTCATTTTTCTTTCTTTTATTTTCTCTCTCCCTCTCCCTCTCCCCTCCCTGTTTCCCTCCTCTCCCCTCCTTACCCTCCCCCCTCTCCCCTCCAATCCTCTGCTCTTTCTTGTGTCTTTTCTCTTCTGCCTTCCCCTTTCTTCCTCCTGTTGCCTTTTCTCTTTTCCTCCCTTTTTATCCTAAGTATCTATTTGTAAAAGCCTTATAAGCTGTTTTGAAATATATATCTCCAGACATTTTTTTCACTCTAAAAAAAAACTAGGGAAATTCTATTAATGCAGGGAAAATTGGAATCCAGGAGGATATAAAAAGAGGAGGAGGAGGAGTATCAGGAACAGGGGTGGAGCCTAAAACTCCTTGGAATTTAGTTCTGAGGGTAAGAAATTTTATTTTCTGCTCCACCTACCTGTTACCATTCTGGTTCTGTAAAATAGTACATACCTAAACTTTCATCAGTGCTTTGTATCCCTTACTTTATCATAGATCTTTTACTGAATCTGACAAACACAGTTTCTGCTGTACCTAAAACCTTTCCATCTCTGCTAATTCTTACTTCTCAGAATACACGCTTACACCATTTCCTCACTGTAAACTAAACAAACCAACAACCAAAACCTTTTTTGCTTTAGTCCAAGCATTCTACCTACAAGGGAGACTCCTTTTCTGTAATAATTTTCAAAGCCAATATTGAAAAACCATTTATATAGGTGATTACAACTTTGAAGTATTAATATCAGTCAGGAAAGTTATGCCTGTGCATTTCACTAGTCACATTTCTGTCCTCCACATCTAAATATTGTAACTGGATCAGAATTTTCTGTGGCTCTAGAAATCTATAGTTATATATGACATATGAATAATATTAGTTCTGTGGGGATTAGAGGACTTCTTGCCAAACTCAAATCCTGTTATAAATTCCTCAAAGAAGGTCTAGGAGGAGTAGGGTTAGCAGAGCAAAAGAGATAAGAATTATTTTCAGTATTGCTTCTCCAACTCAAGAACTCATGGGAATCACCTAAGATGCTTGTTAGAAAAATAATAGATCAGCAATTCTGTAGGCCACAGATACAAAATAGATTTTACAATTGCAATGAGTTTGCATAACATGCTGATGTTGCTGGTTTGGAAAGAGAGCCACCATTATTGAGTGAAGACTGATGTGTGAAAAAACCTGGAAACTACAAGGACTCATAGCTTTATTGAAGAATCAAAAAGGACTCAGTATTTTTGAAATGGAAGCTCAAAGGATAAATAAATACAAGAATGAATTATATGGTTGCAGAATCAAGAGATGTATAAATTTTGCCAAGGATTATGGGCAATGTTTAAAAATCTATAATTTATACTAAGATCAGTGAGAAGATATTGAGGCTTTAAAGTAATAGCTTCAGACTGAACAATTTTAAGAGATCATTTTGACCTCAATGTGAAGTATGAAGAAAGGACAATAAAAATATTGTTTTTGAAACTATTGTGATCCAGGTGATAGTTGAGAGAATCAGAGTTAAGTTAGTGAAACATTGGGCAATGGAGAAAAATATATCAGAATAAAACTGACAGGATTTGGTGATTGATTTCTATTTCTAATTTATGCAGTAAGACTGCTAGCCTGACCAGACACTGCACACCCACAAACAAACAAAAACAAAACAAAAACTAGGTTGTCACTTTAGAATAATCAATGGATCAAATTCCTTTAGGACTTATGATTAGATAATGAATAACCAGAGAACAGAATACATTTGTTCTTTGTTTTTATTGTCTACTCCCAAAAGTAGTTAGTTATTACAACATAGAATTGCTTGATACGAAGTCTACTATCAGGATGATCTCTGTCTTAGTTACTTTTCTCTCATTGCTGATACAAAATACCAGACATCGAAAGTTAAAGGGGAAAGGGTTTATTTAACTTACAGTTCATAGAAATTTCATTCTATAACCAGCTGGTCCCAAGGCAAGGTGGCAGAGGGCAATAGTTTGTGGCTAACAGTCAATAGCCAAGCAACACGGGACCTTAACAGCATCTTTCTGCCCCTTTTATATTCTACAGATTATTTCAGGGAGTAGGACTCACACCCTCAATCCTAGGGCTCTTGAGCCTAGCATTAGACTGTGAATAAATTCCAGAAAAAGCCCCATCCATGACTGCCTGAGACTTTGTGGGAACACCAAGACACAAGCCGTAACAATTTCCAAATCCTTCAAGTTAAAAAACAAAGAAAAAGGAAGAAAATCAGTTAAATTTATGATTCTGGATTATGTTTACCTGAAAATCCTTTAAAGAATCTTATAAAACTGATGATTTCTCTCTATTTGCACATATAACACTCTATGTACAATTTAAAGAGGTTTACATCCTACTTAATGTCCTGAAAGTTTGGCCCTATATTAATAATTGTTGAATGGAGATGTGCAAATTTAGAATCTCAGCACATTATCTAGTGACTGATTTAAAGAATTTAAGTCCATAAAAGTTGATGAAAAATGTTATCATTAAACCCATTGATGAGGGGCAAGAATAACTAAATTGGGTATCTAGAGAGGTTGATTTAAAATTATATCATATTCTTCTGAAAACCTTTTTAAGTTTAATTGCTCTCACAATGCCAGTTATTGTCATAAGAATGGCAATAACAACTTTATGGCAAGAACTATTAGTTGGGATCATTCAAAGAATCAGAGGAAAGTAATTAGCAGGGTTTGAAAATATATTGGATGGACTAAAGTTGCTCTAACAGGCTAGCAGCACTTTCCCCGAATTATTTTATCACTTTATTATTATTTAATCTGTATTTTTTGTCAGATACCATAAGAAGGAAGCCAGGAATATTTAGAAGCCCTTCACAAGCATTTTAACAAATGATTTTACTAAGTGATTCTGTGGCACAGAGCAACACTTTCATATTAAGTCTATTTTGGTATCTATTTAATGCTTCCCTAATTTTGTTTCATTAATTACTACTACTGCCTGGAGTGCTCATTAAATAAGCAATACAGTTTCAATTCATTCTGAAGTTAAAATGGAGTTGCAAAATGGTTTCTGTATTCCTTTAGGAAAAGCTAATTGATCCCGAAAAGACAATAAGTCTGTTTACACGACTGGCAAATAGTGTAGGTTGCCCTCAAGGTTAGTAAGCCTCAGTAGGTGTTGCTTTACTAAGAAGGTTGACAAACAATAAGTTTATCATTTCCTTCTTTGAGAAAAGGTAAAGGGCTTCACTAAGTTCCTTTCTATGCCCCCTTAAATGAACTTGAAGACAAATTTAATTTTTATAGGACTGTTCAAGAAGTTAAAGCAAAAGCCAAATTGGCCGAATATAAAAGAGGTTTCTCAAAAAATTCTACCAATGGCTTGTAATTCAACCTATTATTTTTAGGCAATTTATCGGGAAGTCTAGAATAAAAACGTAAGGATGTCATGCAAAGGTAATTTCTGATCAACATCTTATTCACCAGCTGTGACAAGTGCATTAAAATAATTTTCAACAAAATAAGTGATGTTATCTGCTTTTAAATTGCCTGAATAAAGCTAGTTAATATGAAAACTATATTTAAAATATCAATTGATGAAATTCTCATAACAGAATTATTGAAAACAAATAGCAGTGCAGAGATACAGAAGATTTGTGTAAAATCTGGCTTCAAGAATCAATAGAAACAAAAATCTTAGGCAGGAGATCACTGGGTTTCCTTGGAAAGTCAGATCAAAAGATCTACTAATATACTAATATTATTCAGGATATAATTAAAGGAAAATAAAGATAAAACAAAAATAACTGTTCTCGGGCTCTAAAAAAGTATATGTGTGTGTGTGTGTGTGTGTGTGTGTGTGTGTGTGTGTGTGTGTGTGTTTGTGTATGATGTGATTATTATATTGTACTATATTGAGGAGCTTTCAGTGCTCAGCATGGGATCTGGGTCCAGTTTTCTGCCTCCTAGCCTGATGCTAAAGTGTGATGTCAACCAGTGGTTGCACATTGACCAGATCTATCCTAGGAGTCCAGCCAAGGCCACATGGTGGGTATATCACTAGGAGGGAACTCTCAACCCAGAACAGAATTCCCTGCATAGCCACTGTAAGAGAAACAGGCCAGAAAAGATTCAGATGAGGAAGGGGAAGTGCAGGGAGATAAAACACTGAGCCAAACCATGCAGTATGAAGGCAGAATCCTATCTTCCCAATCTTCAGTGAAGTCTACACCAGAAGTGTTTGTCTTTTCTAACTCACCTACCCTCTTCTCAGTCTTGCTCTTGGGCCCTGAAGGCTGCATGAGTAAACAAAGATGAAAGATGAAGGAAAAGAAAAGAGACCAGGGATATTCTCTGCCATGCCATAAGTCTGTTTGGTCATTACAACCTGGCTCCTTCTCTCCACCAGAGATCACTGCCTTTCTCAAGGTGGCCCTCTCTATAGTACTCTTCCCATTACCTGCCTTTTCCATGCAGGCCAGGGATCTTCTACTACCACAGGATACTTGTACTATCCTTGAGGTTCTCTGTATCTTGGTTTCACATTGGTAAACTGCTGCTCTATTAAGCCCTCTTAGATTGTCCTAAATTAGGGTTATCTTCAGTTTCCTGCTGGGAAGGAAAAGTCACTGATAGGACTACCTTCCATGGATTCCCTGATCTGACATAGTTTTCAATCATCAGGCTCACCACTCCACATGAAATCCTGAATCTGTGTTTTTATACACAGGAGACCTTCATGTCGCTGATAAACCTCTCTCATGTCTCAGCCAAGAACAAGGCCACTTTAGTCTTCAATCTGCTCCAGCCCACTGGCACACCTTCCTGGGTTCCAAGTCCAAGTGGCTCAGGTCAGAACCTCATTCCTCTGGGGCACTACTCCTTTGTGACTTCACCCACTGAAGTCACCTGGTAGACTGTGTTAAATGTTCCATCCTAGAGTTCTGGCCTCTTAGGAGACAGGGACAGGAGGTCCAGCCAGCATAGAGAACTCTGTCTATCATAGAATTCAGTTCACTGATGAGCAGGTTTCACAGTGTTACAGAGGACAGCCTCATAGGCACTGGGCACTCCTGGATCCATGGATGAAGATGTTGTCCTTAGGAGACGTGGTTACATCATGGGAGTAAGTTTGGGAGAAGGCTCATATGCCAAAGTCAAATCTGCTTACTCTGAGCGCCTAAAGATAAATGTGGCTATCAAGATCATTGACCGCAAGAAGGTACCCAATGACTTTCTAGAGAAATTCCTTCCCCAGGAACTTCGAATTCTAACTATTCTAAACCACGGCTCTGTCATCAAGACCTATGAAATCTTTGAGACAATCCAGGGCAAGATATACATTGTCATGGAACTTGGGGCCCAGGGTGATCTCCTTGAATTCATCAAAACTCGGGGAGCCCTGCAAGAGGATGATGCTCGTAAGAAGTTCCACCAGCTGTCTTCAGCCATCAAGTACTGTCATGACCTGGACATTGTCCACAGAGACCTCAAGTGTGAGAACCTCCTCCTTGACAAGGACTTTAACATCAAATTGTCAGACTTTGGTTTCTCCAAGTGCTGCTCACGGGACAACAATGGTCGAGTAACATTAAGTAAGACCTTCTGTGGGTCAGCTGCATATGCAGCCCCTGAAGTGTTACAAGGAATCCCCTACCAACCCAAGGTGTATGACATCTGGAGTTTGGGTGTGATCCTCTACATCATGGTCTGTGGTTCCATGCCCTATGATGACTCCAACATCAAGAGAATGTTGCGTTTCCAGAAGGAGCACCGTGTCAACTTTCCACACTGTAAACACCTGACCAGGGAGTGCAAGGACCTCATCTACCGCATACTACAGCCAGATGTTGACCAACGGTTGCATATAGACCAGATTCTCAGACACTGCTGGCTGCAGCCCAAGATGCAGGATCTGTCTTCTGCAGCCACCAGTGAGGGGGAATGCTCCCAGAGAGCTGAGCCCTCCTGGATGCCTAAACCAGGTTATGACAAGAAATCCACTACAAAGCTGGAGCCTCAGAAAGAGACACCACCCAAAGAACAGTCTGAGACAAATTTGGAGGAGCATACCATGCAAGTGGCCAAGCAATTGGATGTCTTGGGCATCAGCACCCAGTAGGTGTCTGAGAAACCCCAAGCAGTCTCCAGAGAAGCACACCTAGAAAACCTCACATGTGTGGCCCAGGAAGAGCTGAGAGGCTGAAGCCTGAGCCTGGAAGAAGGCAGTGGATGAGTCCCAATTTTTGTCCATTCCTTCTTCCTTCCTTTAAATTTGATAACTCACATGGCTAAAGAAACAATAAAACATTGTATTAGTGAGTTTATTTACTTTGTTCTTCCTTATATATGAAATTTTGTATATCAGATATTCATTTTCAGAATCTAATTTTATGTTCATTACTTATTTCAGCTTATATAGAAATTATGTCAAAGAATAAGCATATGTCTAGAATATTATGGCTAGAATAAGAGTATAACTTATTCAGAAGTTTGGTGATATTAGCAAAACCTTATGCATTGTAAGGCTTAAAGGTTTGTTAGCGATTACAAAACTCAGCCAAGGAAAAGGCAGCTATTCAATGACAGTTGAAATTTATTGATATATGTTTCCCAGGTTTTGAAGTGGAAAAATGAAAGATCTGCTTGAGATTTTCATAACTTGTCATAGACACACTAGATCCATGGGCTCTGTATTGAGTACTTGCTGATCTACAAAAATAAGAAATAACACTAAAACTTCAACTCTCTGTCTCTGACCTTCTGGCACACACACACACACACACACACACACACACACACACACACACAGGTGGAAAGAATTAAATGGATTTTGTTTTTAGTGAAATGTATAAGAAAATATAAACATTAGAATATTAAGATTTTGAGAAAAATATGATTCAGTATTACATACTAAAAACACATATGAATGGTGGTGAATTTACTCTTTAAAATAATGATCATTTTTGAAAGTTTTAGTTTTTAGATCATTTTTTGGCTTATTTCATAACATTCATAAATCCAATTAAAAGATAATAAAATACATTGCCTTATTTTTCATTCAAAAAAACTGTTTGGCATCATGAATACCCTTTCAAATGGTAACACTTCTAAGTACTAATAAGGATAAAAATGTAGAACTATGGATTCTTTCTGTGATACACAGATGTCATACATATTACAAAATAGTCACATTCACATGGTAAGTTTAAAATCCCAGTTCATCTTCTATATTGATTTTTTATACCATACCTCGACAGTTAGTTTTTCAGTAATGTAAACAAAGGGTAACTTTATAACTTTTAGAAGTTTGAGGATTGATAGTTCTTTTATTGAGAAAACTATCTAATAATTACATTACTAAATTCATTATTTTTAAAACCTAGGACTTTTTATTAATTACAGCACTGAGGATCACTTATGTTAATTAATGACAGCCCCGTAGGGCACTTTAAAGTATGCCCTAATGAATATTAGACTCAGTTCAAAATACTTCCATTTCTTACAGAAAGCTATCCCATTCTTGTCTATTGTTAAATTTACAATAATTTAATTAAATAATAACAAATAACTAGTGCATCTAATAACTAGTACTGAATACTACACTTGCTTTATGATTACAGGTTTATATAGGCTTAAGATCTGTTAAATTATATTGTTAATCACTCCAAATTATATTCACCTTTACTACAAAAAGATATATGGATAAATTATTGTGATTGTGTTAAATACAAGGATTAATATAAGGATAATTGTCATCTTAGAAGTATTGAATCTTCTATTCCAATAATATAATACACCTCTTTTTACTTGAAATTGGTGTAATTTTTCCCACCAATGCTTTGTGGTTTGTAATGTGGAGATCTTGATGTTGTTTGTTTAGGTGTTTTAAGTATTTTATATGTGTGGTATGACTATATATATGGAATTATGGAGTAGTATATAAATAGTATATTTTAAAACCATACCAAAATTTACATGAGTCATTGAAATATATTTTATATTCCCTATAATTATCTCTGTATCTATAATATATCACATTCAAATAGTGAGTGTCACTTTTGTATTGTGATATTCATTTTATTTTTTTGCCTTCTTGAAACTTCGACAGTCTGTAGTACAGCGTTCAATAAATACATTTAAAATTGGCATCCTTGCTTTGTTCTTCATCTCAGGGAGAAGAACTTCAGTTTTTCATTAAAATGTGATATTGGTTCTAGTTTTTCCAAAAAAAATTTAATAGACTATTTTAGAGCAGTTTTAAGTTTATAGGAAAATTGAGTATAAAATACAAAGTTCCTATCTATAGACATTCTTTGGCTATTGAAATTCATTCTCTAAAGTTTGTCTTCATAACAGTGCAAAAGTCATATGTATTCAGTATAAAAAGTAGTTTAAATTTGGGTGTGTTTCTTGGATTAGTAATATATGAATTCTATACCCTCTTGTGATACTGTGCTGTGGCAGAAGGCCAAGCTGCCAACTCCGTGAAATCACAGTGCCAGCAACCAGTACTCTACATGATACTGTTAATAAACTGGGACATTTGGTGATTTAATTGTACTAAATGCAATTTCAATTTATATGTTCAATTTATGAGAGTTTCTCAAGATGTACGCCCATGCAAGTAAAGAGCTTATGTACTCTTTACTTCCACACACACAGTCATTCCTACTATTAGTATACTCAGCCAGAGTGGTACATCTGTTACATACAATAGATAAACTTACAGCAATACCCAAACCCATAGTTCACATTGTTTATTCTTGGTGTTATTCAACTTACAGGTTTGGGCAGACATACAGAGATGTTATTTGTCATTATAGCTTAATAAAAAATAGGTTCACTGTCTTAAAAGTGCTCTGCCTGCCTCCTTCCTAACCCTAAAGACCACTGAACTTTTTATTGTTTACATAGTTCTGCCTTTTCCAGAATGCCACAAAGCATGTAGTCTTTTCAAATTAGTTCCTGATTGGTTTCCAATTTAGTAATATAAGTTTAGAATTCCACCATTTTTATGACTTTAATAACTCAAGTTTAGCTGATTCTTTCCTTAATGCCATCTAATCTAATGCACTCATCCAATTATTCTCCACTTTGTTTATAGTGCTTTATTTCTTTTCTTTTTGACTCAGAACTTCCATCTATCTGCTTTCCTTGCCTATCTGTTCTTGCATGTTGTCTACCTTTTCTATTAAAAAAATGTGAGAGAATGAAAAGATGAAAATAAAGTGTTTGTAGATGGGGAGGGGAGGAGGGGGTGAAGGGAGGGCAGAGGTAAGGGGAAAAAATGAGAATCAAGACTTGCCATGTAGAGGTACATGATCCGAACAATGAATGTAACTGTACTGTATCCCTAAAATGTACCAATAAACTCAATAAAATTAAAAAAAAGAGTCCTTAATATATTAATCATTATTATTTTAGGTTTTAATTCCAAAATTACTCCCATATATCTAAGCCTGGTTCTGATTGTTGCTGTAATGATTCAAAATATGGTTTTGCTTGTTTTTTTTGTTTTTTTGTTTGTTTGTTTGTTTGTTTTATACGGGGCTCAAACTTTGGTCGTTGCACTTGCAAGGCAAGAGGTGGAACCACTGAGCTAAATCCCCGGCCCTGGTTTTACTTTTAGAATGACTTTTTTTTTTTTTTTCTGTAGAATGCACAACATGATAGATTGAGTGAAGAGAACTGAGATGAGTAAGTTTTAGTAATGTGGTGGTTAAGTGATGTGTAGAACAGACACATTCTGTAGGTCTATTGTTAGATCTCAGGCTTTTAGAGAATAGTGTGTCTCAGATTTTTTCCCTCTGGCATAATAGAATGGATAAAGGGGGCTTGAATTAGCATTTCCCATTTTTCATGTCAGTTAGGTACTGATAAAAACTCCAGTAGGTTAGACTCTTATAGATGATTTATTTTAAAGTTGGCCTTGTTAAAAAAGATAAAATATTCTGAAATCGAAGAGGATATAAAAAAATGGAAAGATATCCCCTGCTCCTGGGTAGGAAGAATCAACATAGTGAAAATGGCCATACTACCAAAAATGCTATATACATTCAATGCAATGCCAATTGAAATTCCAACACTATATTTCACAGAAGTAGAAAAAAGAATCCAAAAATTCATTTGGAACCACAAGAGACCTAGAATAGCAAAAGCCATTATAGGCAACAGTCACATGGCACCAGGTGTAACAATTCCCAATTTGAAACTATACTACAAAGCCACTGTGATAAAAACAGCATGGTACTGGCAAAGAAATAGGCCTGAGGATCAATGGAACAGACTGGAAGACACAAAAACAAATGCAGATGTACTCAGCTACCTCATCTTTGACAAAGGAGCTCACCATCCTCAGTGGAGGAAAGATAGCCTCTTTAATAAATGGTGTTGGAAAAACTG